TGATTCTTTGTTGATATCTGATATATATTGTGTCTTTCAATTACCTATTGTCTTTCTATTCTAAATTGATAGTTCCCCCGCAGCATGTTACCCCTCCCATACTTGACTGTATATTACTGTTCTTCTTTTCTGTTGTATATAGTTGAATTGCACAGGTTTATTTGGTAGTCTGGTCCTAGCCTCGTCACTACATCGCCGAGGTTAGGCTAGGCACTTACCAGCACATGGGGTCGATTGTGCTGATACTACACTCTGCACTATGTGCAGATCCTGGAGCAGCAACTTTTGGACCGTAGATTGGGTGGCTGCCTTCAGTCTATGTGGAGATCCAAGGTAGTCCTTGTGAGCATGTGATTTTTGTCTTATATGAATTACTCCCACAAATTCAAAACAAAATAAATTTTCCCATTATTTGTAATTTCGTAGATTTTTGTAGCATTTTTCATTAATTGTTTGCATTTGTCTGCGCATTTTAACTTTGTTTAATTAATGAAAAATACAAAAATATGTTGCATTTGCATTTAGGATTTAATTATACATTTTAGGATTAATTAACAAATTAGTTGTTTTATAAAAAAGGGAAAAATCACAAAAAATAGTTTATTTTGCACTTTTTAATTTTAATTTTGATTTTTTTGGTAGTTTTTCCTTGAATTTGGTTTTTAATTATTTGTGGTAAATGTTATTTAGAGTTAGTTAATGCAATAGTATAATTTGATTAGTGATTAATTTAGGTTTATTTTAAATTTTAATTTAAAAGAAACTAAAAAGAAAATTGAAAAAAGAAGAAAAGAAAAAAAGAGAAAACAACGAGGAAAGAAGTGGAAAGGGTAAGCTTAGTTTAAAATTGGCCCAAAACCCTCGCCTATTTCCGCCCAGGTCCGATCCCAGAACCGGTCCAAACCCCCACTATGACCAAACAACGTCGTTTTAACGGCTTTTGATCTGAGCCGTTAATTTCTTCTGATCCAACGGATCGAAACTGAATGCTATTAGATATATATATGTCCGAAATGAGCCTACCCCTCCCCCCAAATCAACCCCCTCCATTCATTGTCTCCAAGCTTGGAGACCTAAACCCTAGCGCTGCCCTCATATCCTCTCCGCCATCTCTGCCGGCGGAGGGCCCCAAACCACCTCAAACTAACACCCTAGAACCCCCTTACTCCCCTCTTTCCAAATCCACACTCCATTACCCTCAAATCTACCCATAACCCCTCGAATCTTAGATCCAAATTCAAGCCTTAAAAGTTCAAAACCAGTTGCGGTCGAATCTGGTGGCATGCATCGACCCAGGTCGAATCTTAGATCTCATGTTTGGAAGGTTGACCACTACAAAGCTGATGCTAGTCGTTCTTTCTTGACAGAGAAAAATGACTGGTATCAGTTTCGTATGAGTCAAGATATCGAGTGTTATTTCGAGTTTAGCCTGTAAGTTTCATTTCAGTTTTGGGTCCGTTTCTAGTTTCATTTTCACTTATTGCCCCTCTTCTTTCTTTTCTTTTTCCTTATTTGAAATTTAACCAAATTTTTGGCCATGTTTGAGATTTGTCAGTTTGGTTTTCGCTGATTTTCCTTTTATTCTTTTTGTTTCCAAGTCTGTTCTCCGGTCCTGCTTGATTTGTTTGGTTTCTTTTGATTAAATGGCATGGGTATTGTTCCAATTAGTCACCTAGTCAATTTAATTAGGTCTATTCTAATAACTTGGTTAATTTCTTGCTCATTTGTGTAATCAGTTGATTGGTATAGGCTTAATTCTCGGAATTTTTGAAGTATTTGCCCTTTGTTAGTTGTCTGATTTGATTCAATCTATCTGTGTTTGGGCTTTGAAGCCATTACAGACCTCGCCCCAATGGGGTTTGATTTGGGTAATTGGGTCAGAATTGAGCCCACTTTTGGTTTCATTATCGGGTCAACTTGACCCATTGGGTTTCAGGGGGTAATAACTGGGTTTTAAAGGGGTAGTCTAGGTAACTAGCATAGGGAGTCTGGGTGTAATAACCTTAGGAAGCTTCCTAGAAGGGGGATTTGGGACTATTCTGAAATGTTGAAATTTACATCAGGGGCAACATGCTAAAATGAAAATTTCAG